CAGATATGACGGAAATTCTGTTGGCCAGGAACTTGATAACTCATTTTTTACATCCCGGACATACGAAATATCATGTAACATCAAATAGAAAGGGTATACGATGAGTTTTGAGAACTTGAAAACTCATTGTTTACCTCTCCTTTCAACATCTCTTTTTGTCTCAATCGGATTGGAGTTTTTCATGCTTGTGTTGTTGAAATATACATATGAAGGTTGATTAGCAGAAACGATTCAAGCGTTCAAAAGGAAATCTCTAACAATTTTTTCGAAATTAATTTGTTCCAAAAAAATAAATCTACAAAATTAAACTTTTAGAAACGGTTTCAAACCTTCAATCCTACGCCAGAGCTTTTAACCGTTGCTGTTCATGATGCACAACAAAAGAGGTCCATATCGAATTTGAGAGGGGAGCAAAACGGAGGAGATTCAACAACCTGAATTTTAGAACAAAACCAAAAAAATATCACACAAACCAAATTCTATTTTATTATTTATCATTGACCACTGCCGAATTCCAGAGTTGCAGAAATTTCAAAAACAAATGGATGAAAGTTGATTGCCAATCCAAAGTGCAAAGCATGAATTTCTTCAGCGGAGGATGGGCTAATAATCTGAATTTGTGAAGAGATTCGGTCAGCCGATGATTCTCGTGACTAGATTCACCAATTCAGACCATATCAACGAAACCCATCATCACCAATGACTAAATTTTCCTCGTGACCTCGATATTCTATTGTAACTGCCATCATTTCCTCACTGTCGCTGCTCGGAACTCACCAAGTTGTGCGCGAGACTGAAAAATCTTTCTGTTCCAAAGTTTTTTTTTTTTTTTGCCTCTAACTTTCGTAAAAGAGGGGTAGAAGGTTATGCCTTTGATCCAACTTTCAGATATTCTTTTAAGATTTGAATTGATACGCTTCAATTCGAAGAAGATAAGGTTGAATTTTTTATTTAATTTGATGTAGCTAAAATTGAGGGGCGGAGCTAAAATTTGGGAGTAGACTGATATCCGTAAATTATCTCTTATCAGTATATAATTGTGATATTTGGATGTCCTTATTATTATCTTATCTTAAATATTATTTATTATTATTATTATTATTTTATATTAGATGTACCTTTGGGCTTTGCTTAAGGCTTTCTTTTTCCTGAAAATCTAGAGTGCCACGTGTGAGTTTTCATTTTGTACTAAAAAAGGCTTTTAGCGGGAAATTTTCAACGTGGAACTGACACATGTTTTTCTTGTATGTTGCTTTAATTAAGTGTTATAGATATCCTATTAAAACAATAGTCCAAGAGAAAAAAAAAAAAAAACCTGACGTGTCGCGTTCTCATGCCGCCCAACAAAAACTATGTAATTTTGTGAAAAAAAATAATTTCTACTATCTTTAATTGTGTTAACTTTCCTTGTCCTTAATTATAATCAATTAATCGATATTAATAGAATTAGACATTAATGATATAAATAAATGATTCTTTTATTATTTCTAAAATTTAAAACATAACATATTGAGTTAAAATTAAAAAATACTTTTACCATTTGTATATTTAATTTTAAAATATATTGTTGTAAATGGTCGGACGACGCCCGCTGCAAGCAGCTAGTTATAGTTACGTAATAATCCCTTAACTAGATGCTTGGCCCGGGTAAATACCCGGGTGCTCCTTCTACTTTAATTTTGTGTTAATAGATAAATGAATTATTGATTTGGAAAAAAATAAAATAGCTACACATTTATTTTTTTTTTCCATTTTTTAGCCAAAAATAAAAATATAAAAAATCATCTGCAAAAGGAGAAAAAATATTGAAAAGTATAATGATGCAAAAATCATATAAAAAAATGTGGAGTAATAAAGGGGATAAGTTTAGGAACAAATTTAAATGCTATCTTAATTTGATTGATAAATGATAACTGTTAGGAGTTAAAATTGTGTAGCTATTTTTGTAAAGTAGCTTTTGTTTCTCCGGATAAGAAGTTTTTTTTTCTTTTAAAAAGGGATGACACGTGACAGAATGGTTAATGCAATATGGTGCATTTGGAGCCAAAATTTTTTAATAATAAGTTGCCACATCAACATCTTGTATTCTGCTTTAATAGGGTAAAAGGGACGTAATAATCCCTTAACTAGATGCTTGGCTCGAATAGATGTCCGGGCGCCCCCTCTACTTTAATTTTGTGTTAATAGATAAATGAATTCTTGATTTGAAAAAAATAAAATGCCTACACATTTTTTTCCTTTTTTTAGCCAAAAATAAAAATAAAATAAAAATATCATCTGCAATAGGAGAAAAAATATTGAAAAGTACAATGATGCAAAAATCATACAAAAGAATGTGGAGTAATAAAGGAGATAAGTTTATGGGTAAATTTAAATGCTATCTTAATTTGATTGATAAATGATAAGTGTTAGGAGTTAAAATTGTGTAGCTATTTTTGTAAACTAGTTTTTGTTTCTCCGGATAAGAAGCTTTTTTTTTTTCTTTTAAAAAGGAATGACACGTGACAGAATGGTTAATGCAATATGGTGCATTTGGAGCCAAAATTTTTTAATAAGAAATTGCTACATCAACATCATGTATTCTGCTTTAATAGGGTAAAGGGATAAAAGGGACGTAATGATCCCTTAACTAGATGCTTGGCCCGAACAGATGTTCGGGCGCCCCCTCTACTTTAATTTTGTGTTAATAGATAAATGAATTATTGATTTGGAAAAAAATAAAATAGCTACACATTTGTTTTTTTATCCATTTTTTAGCCAAAAATAAAAATAAAAATAAAAAATCATCTGCAAAAGGAGAAAAAATTTTGAAAAGTAAAATGATGCAAAAATCATATAAAAGAATGTGGAGTAATAAAGGGAATAAGTTTAGGAGCAAATTTAAATGCTATCTTAATTTGATTGATAAATGATAAGTGTTAGGAGTTAAAATTGTGTAGTTATTTTTGTAAAGTAGCTTTTGTTTCTCCGGATAAGAAGTTTTTTTTTTAAAAAAAAAGGGATGTCACGTGGCAGAATGGTTAATGCAATATGGTGCATTTGGAGCCAAAATTTTTTAAAAATAAGTTGCCACATCAAAATCTTGTATTCTGCTTTAATAGGGTAAAAGGGACATAATAATCCCTTAACTAGATGCTTGGCCCGGACAGATGTCCGGGCGTTTAATTTTGTGTTAATAGATAAATGAATTCTTGATTTGGAAAAAATAAAATACCTACACATTTTTTCTTTTTTTAGCCAAAAATAAAAATAAATAAAAAAATCATCTGCAAAAGGAGAAAAAATGTTGAAAAGTACAATGATGCAAAAATCATACAAAAGAATGTGGAGTAATAAAGGAGATAAGTTTATGGGCAAATTTAAATGCTATCTTAATTTGATTGATAAATGATAAGTGTTAGGAGTTAAAATTGTGTAGCTATTTTTGTAAACTAGTTTTTGTTTCTCTGGATAAGAAGGTTTTTTTTTCTTTTAAAAAGGGATGACACGTGACAGAATGGTTAATGCAATATGGTGCATTTGGAGCCAAAATTTTTTAATAAGAAATTACCAGATCAATATCATGTATTCTGCTTTAATAGGGTAAAGGGATAAAAGGGATGTAATGATCCCTTAACTAGATGCTTGGCCCGGACAGATGTCCGGGCGCCCCCTCTACTTTAATTTTGTGTTAATAGATAAATGAATTATTGATTTGGAAAAAAATAAAATAGCTACACATTTGTTTTTTTTTTCCATTTTTTAGCCAAAAATAAAAATATAAAAATCATCTGCAAAAGGAGAAAAAATATTGAAAAGTATAATGATGCAAAAATCATATAAAAAAATGTGGAGTAATAAAGGGGATAAGTTTAGGAACAAATTTAAATGCTATCTTAATTTGATTGATAAATGATAACTGTTAGGAGTCAAAATTATGTAGCTATTTTTGTAAAGTAGCTTTTGGTTCTCCAGATAAGAAATTTTTTTTTTTTCTTTTAAAAAAGGATGACACGTGGCAGAATGGTTAATGCAATATGTTGCATTTGGAGCCAAAATTTTTTAATAATAAGTTGCCACATCAATATCTTGTATTCTGCTTTAATAGGGTAAAAGGGACGTAATAATCCCTTAACTAGATGCTTGGCTCGGACAGATGTCCGGGCGCCCCCTCTACTTTAATTTTGTGTTAATAGATAAATGAATTCTTGATTTGAAAAAAATAAAATGCCTACACATTTTTTCTTTTTTTTAACCAAAAATAAAAATAAAATAAAAAAATTATCTGCAAAAGGAGAAAAAATGTTAAAAAGTACAATGATGCAAAAATCATACAAAAGAATATGGAGTAATAAAGGGGATAAGTTTATGGGAAAATTTAAATGCTATCTTAATTTGAGTGATAAATGATAAGTGTTAGGAGTTAAAATTATGTAGCTATTTTTGTAAAGTAGTTTTTGTTGCTCCAGATAAGAAGTTTTTTTTTTCTTTTAAAAAGGGATGACATGTGACAGAATGGTTAATGCAATATGGTGCATTTGGAGCCAAAATTTTTTAATAAAAAATTGCCACATCAACATCCTGTATTCTGCTTTAATAAGGTAAAGGGATATACTTCTCTCTCCGTCGGATCTGGTCCAAAACAAGCGCTCCATCGTTTCAGTTCCTAAAACACGATTCTAACGCAAAATGAAAAAAAAAAACACTACTCCTACATTGACTCTCATCAATCACCCTTGATTTAATTTTAAAAAATCTTTCATTCTGCTCCTTTATGTTTCCTCTCTCAGATTCGGCTTCAAATTAGTTACTTCAAACATCAATTATTAATCCATCTCTTTCTACAATAGAAGAAAAAAAAGTTGTCACGGAAAAAACGACGGTGGCGGTAGAAGGCTATAGAGAATGTGAGTTCTAGATCTGGAGAAAGAATTCGCTACCCTCCTCTATTCCTAATACCTCCTCTTAAATTTACAATAATTTCGTTCAACGCCGAATCGAAAGCGCCACTGTCAAACAATCTCCGGATTGGCAGGCAAACCCTCGAAGTGACTGATTCCGATTTAACGGTGAAGCACAGACCAATTGATGTAACGAATTATTCTGATGAATAATATTAAACTTCATTCTGATGATAATGTTGAGCTTGCGTTTCCTGACATTTTAGGCCAATTAGAATCGCTTGATATGGTAGTCGGAATCGAAGATAAACATAAAGAAATTTGTTGTTTTAGTTTGCCAATGAATCTGAAGAAATTGACATTGAGAGAAAGCATTGGTAAGCTGCCAAAGCTTGAAGTCCTGAAATTAGTCAATGTATCGCTTATGGAGTGCACATGGAGAATGGAAGAAGAAGAGTTCAACAAGCTTAAAATCTTAGAGTTGAATTCCTATGGCCTTCGCTTTTGGAGCGCTTCGGATGATCAATTTGAATGTCTTGAGAAATTGGAATTGCAGGCTTGCAAGAAGTTGGAGGAAATGCCTTCTTGTCTAGAAAGCATTTCGATGCTTCAGATGATAGGGGCAGTTTCTTGTTCCGAAACTGTAAATGAGTTGGTGAAAAAGATCGGGCAAGTACAGGTGGACAATGGAAATTCAGATCTGAAAATCAATATTCAGCGATACTAATGATTATTCTGCACTGCTTTATGCTGGAATTGCAAGAAACCGTCGCAATATTGACTGCAATTCTCACTCCTGCTACATTGTCTGCATTCATAAATGTTTCATTTTTTTCCTTTGCTCTTACCTTTAAGTTTTTTTTGCGCTTGTTAGTTGAGTGTTACTTGTTATGTACTTTCATTCCCCTCTTTGCCACCTGCTCCAACTTCTTGTGACACTGCAAATCAATATGCAGTTCGGCTGTTTGGAAGTAAACTGGCATGGTACTGAATGGCTCCTATTTTCAGATCATCATTATGGAACATAGAATGTCGAGATTTCAGACATTCATTTAATGGCATTACACTGTTGTCCTCTGCAACTTCCGCCTGTGAAATCATCCTCCTGATTCTTCTTTTTCCTAAATGTACTGTTAGGTCATGAAATTTACAAATTCTTTTGCAGATAAATAGTCATTTTGAATTGGTAGTGGAAATTTGCAGATAAATACTGAAACAGTATTATAAATTGAAATTTAGGTAATTTCTCCGCCGAAATTTCAGATTGGCAAGGACTTCTCCTGATTAGCAAATTTATATGCTTGGTAGAACTACTTATATGTACAATCTGTGATATCATGCTAAGTAAATCATGTACGAGAATTCAATCTTGATGAATCTGCAGTCATGAAAGTTTTACAGCAACTTCAGTGATCATTGACCACAGCAAATGGGCTATCTGCATATTCTTGAACCAATGTACCAAGTAGCAAGGGTCTCTCGAGCAAACTAAATACGTAGTTCGTTAACTCTGCTGCTCTTCTTTTACATCCCACAAAAGAAAGAAACAAACAAACTCAGCCAAATTGGGAGGGAGGGATCAGTGCTTTGATTCCATCTTAAATGAGAGGGGCCACCAGAATGAGAATGAAAAATGAACCTTAAGAAACCACAACATAGCTGCTGTAGGGTTCTCAATTATCATCAAATCCTGAATGAGTTTGCAGTTTCTCGAAAAGACCTATATAAAATTTGCTGGTATGTGAAAGACCTGTCATGCATCACCTTCGACAACTTCAACTATGAGAATTAAGAAAATGCCAAGTACTTCAAATTCAAGCTGCCTAAAAGGCTTGGTTATTTAAAACAATTTCCCAAGTCCCTAAAAAGCAAACTGCTCCGTTTATAATAACAAAAGTGAGCAGTAATCACAGGCAGAATGCTGCTAGTATTCAGCGGCCAACGCAGAAGCCCCAAAGCAAAGTTGCCCACTTATTTTTCTGGATCACATCATCTTTGTCCTGGAATCAATTTTGAGGCAATTGCATCATCAACGAACTGAACCTTCTTGTGTTTTTGTGACCCTCTTCACTTGCACAGAATCTTGTCGCCCAACCCTCTAATTTTCTCTGTTATCAACAACTGAATTTAAATTTAACCGAGGCAAAACAAAAATAGCTAACAGGATATTAGTTTAAGCCTACCTTTTGCACACCTCAAGAAGATCGCCACTGGCCGGCCAGTCAAGGTAGCAGACAAGACCAAGGGATTCCCTGAAACAAAAAAAAAAGAGAATAAGCAGATAGTTTCAAGTATTGAACAGACTTCAACAGCTAAAGGCAGAAGGCAGTCTGTCAAACACATTGGATACATGTTGAACCCAAAGATCAATAAGCACAAGACTGTAAGAACCATGATTGGAATGACATAAGAAAGTGTGTTGTCTATGTGTTAAACTTCATATTTTAAGGGAAGATCATAAAATTTTAACTTAACTTAAGCTAAGGACAGTAGAATATACCACAGTATGTTGATTCAGTAGGACAATAATGATGATTAAAGAAGAACAACAAACTGATTAATTACTTACCCGAACAGGTTGAGAAGAAGCAATTCCATCTTGTTCAATAATGAGCTTGAGATTTGAATTTCCCCAGCCGGCCAGTTCATCTTTGATTCGTCTCACCATTTGTACAACATTTGGCGAGCCATAAACATAGACCTTAATCATTTCAAGCGTCGTAATGGATTCTAGAGAAGAAGGCATCTCTTCCAACTTTTCACACCCGTACAATATCAATTCCTGAAGACAGTTAAATTGATCATCACAGGCACTCCAGCTCACAAGGTTCACAGGCCAGTAAAACTTCAAGCTCTTAAGTTTGGGGAATTCCCCTTCTCCCATATCAAATGTGTCCCCTTCGAAATCTATATTAGTTAATTTGAGGAATTGAAGGTTTGGCAGTTTGCCAATGGATGAAAAATTCCTCCGAGTCAAAGCAAAATTCCACAGCTTCAGCTTTTTGAGATGCGTGGGCAAACTCAACTCAAATGTAGTGGGATGCGATCGACTACGAGTCGACAGATGCAGTTTCTCTAGTTGACTTAAAAAGTGGAACGAAATATTGCCAAGAACTTTTGGATCATCCACATCCTGAAAAACTTGACACTTCAACCAACGGATGTTTGGAAACTTTCTAATTAGCATCTGCATGCTGCCACTATCAGGAAACACAGCTCCATAAAACCTATCCAACTCGTATAGAACGGTTGAGCTGTCAAGATCTTCACTGGGTAGAACTCCTCCATACGAAGTCATGTGAACATACTTCAATTTCTGTAGATTCCAGAGAGTTTTGGGAAAGAAAATTGGATTGGTTAGATGTGAGTTAAAAAAGATGAACGTTTCTAAGTTTGAGAGCTTAGCTATTGATGAAGGGATAAAATCAATGTTGCATTGAATTGAGAGGAATGCCAACAGAACAAGTAGTTCTATTTCCTTTGGAAACCCATGTTCTAGAACAATTTTCTCCAAATCCAACACTCTCAGCAGTTTGAAGCCATAAATCCTCAGTGACATTCTTTGGAACTTTTCAGACTTGAAAAGCAAAGATCGCGCACGAGGACAAAACAACTTTGAGTCTTTAAAATGTTGTGGCTCGGAGTGAATGCATAGCCTTTGCAGGTTGCATGGCTCATTAAATGCTAAAAGCTCGTCGTATCCCTTCAGGACATGGAGAAAGTGTTCCTCTCTGGCTTTCTGGAAGCAAAAATCACGAAGCAGGTCATGCATGCGGCAAGCTTTGACTCCATCATCCCATCTTTTTCGAGCAACTGTGATTAAGCTTCTTTCAACTAAACCATTCAAGTAATCTTCAGCAATATCCAATGGGCGTTTTCCATCAGTTTTCCGGATAAACCCTTCTGCAATCCACAGATAAAGCAACCTCTGGGATAACACCTCTTCATCTTCTGAAAACGATCCAAAATAGAGAAGACATGGCCTTAAATGATCTGGTAAATATTCATAACTTAGCTCCAATGTGTTTTTGCAGTGCTCTGTAACAGATGTAGCGCCCGAGTTCAAGTCATCGCGAATTTTCTCCCAGTACTCTGCCTCTCTAGTTGCCATAAGTCCAGCTACAAGGACTATTGTTAGTGGTAAGCCCTTACAATATGCAGCAATTTGCATCGCTAGATCAGTTAATACAGGAGTCCAACCATCATTTCCAGGTACTAACCTCTTTTGCAACAACTCAAAACTCTCCATTTTGTTGAGTGGTTGAAGAAAATGAGGTTTTTCATGGATCATCATCTCAGAAGGAGCAACATCATGATGACGGCTTGTCAAAAGAATTCTACTTCCAACATTATCGTCTGGGAATGATCCTTTCAAGCTGCTCCATGCTTCACTATCCCATACATCATCCAAAAGTATAAGATATTTTTTCCCTTTCAACCTTTTCCATAGAGTTTCTTCTAAATCTTGTTCATCGAGCACAGACCATCCGTTGCAAGGATCAATCTGATTTAAAATTTCAAACAACAGTTTCTTCTTGTTCATAGCTTGAGAAACAACACACCATGCACGAACATGAAAATAGTACGAAACTGAAATATCATGGAAAATTTTTGTAGCCAAGGTAGTTTTGCCTAATCCTGGCATACCTACGATGGCTATGATTCGCACACGCGCTGATCCTCCTAGGAGTTGATCCATAATTGATGTTGCATCCTCAACAAAACCTACAACTTCATTTCCTTCTGTTGAGATAGTTGTTTTGGATGGCAAAGGCTTGTGACTCCTTGTTGTTGCTCGCTGACCATCGAAGTCCTGTAGTTTCCCTTCAAAATTGAGTCTCTTGATTTTGATTTCTAGCTCGATATTCCTGACTTCATTTATGATGGAATCAACTGATTTTGGAAAAGAATCTGGATGATCACCAACTAGCAGGTGGTCAATGAGATCGTCGACCCTGTACACCATGTCGAAAGCACGATCCCAGAGAGCTTGAAGTTCCTTCTTTTGGCATCGCAACTTCACAATGTCCCCTAAGTAAGATCTGATGGAAACAAGTTCTTCATGGATGGTTTGGAAAAACTGACTGCTGGCAGTTGGTAGATCCATAAGTTTTTCTAATACAAGATCGACAAAACCCAAATGACTAGTCGTCTTGGGAGAGTTAGATAGTAGTGGTAGCTGATGGTCTCTCTCTCCAACTTTTGCTCGAAAATTGTTGATTGCTTCCAACAAATCCTGAAGACGTGCGAGGCGTTCTTCTGTAGTCTTCTGGTACAATAAGCAAAATAAGACTCCGGCGTCACAAACCATAGCCTTAATCTCTGCCTCAAAGTTGTTTGGCTGGTCCCTCTGCCTGAGAATGTTTCTCAAGGATCTAAGTCCTTCATAGAACTCTCGAACAGGATCCTTTGTAAAAATTACACACGGTTTCTTTCCAAGCATCTCCCACAGACTAGATATGAGAGAGTCAAGGAAATTCTTCATTGTCATGAAAGAATCTTTCATATCCAGTCCATGAGTGGTAGCTAGCAATTCTCTCGCCGACGGCTTTGAGTTGGTCAGGGCTTGAGTGTACATCTCGCAGACTTTGGAATCAACCGGGGTTGCGCTTGAGAAAAATGGTTCAAGCCTTTCTCTCGCAAGCTCATCAAGAAAAGCAAGATCATCAAGTGCTCTAGGATTAACAACAATCAGATGTATTGCGATAGCCACAAGTGTAACGTGAACCAACAAATCATTTCCGGGTTTCTTCACAAAGCAGATTAGAGTTTGCAAGAATCTCATCTGCTCTATCAAGGCTTCCTTGACATCTCTGATGTAAACAATCTCCAGAATCTCCAGATTGGAATTCAGGATTGTGGAGATATTATCTGTGGTGATAAGTTGAACAGAAATGCTTAATCGTTGCAGAAGTGAATCCTTCACAGAGGCGTACCATTCACCCATTTCATTCTTCAAGAGTTTAATGTCATTCAGGAACTGAAGAGCCGTATCATGATACAAATCATTAGGTCGACCAAGACAAAGACGATGAATTAAGTCTGCATATTTGGTTACAGTGTCTTCAATCCTTAGCAATAAAGATGCCAGATTTGCATCCTGCTTGACCACTTTAATGGCACAAAGAACAACAAACGCATTCAGCGTCTTTAACTCACATCTCAGGTATCGAAGTGGGTTATAATTCCAAGGATAAGGACGATATATATCAAAATACCTCAGCTGCATCAACTCCAGATCGCGCAAAACAGAAACAATGGAAGCAGCAAAGGGAGTGGAGGCCATAATTTAGGATGATGGGTGAGAAAAAAGAAGGGTTACTTAAATGGGAAAGGAATCAACCAAAGCAACGGAGAAAGAGACTGGTGTAAACTGAAAAGTGAGTGGATGATGGAAATGAAAAAAAGTGGATTTGATGAATAAGGGAATTGGAAGTATAAAGGTAATTTTTTTTATATTTTTTGGGACGGAGTACATAAATAATTAAAGAATCACCAAGCCGAGTTGCCCAGATTGAAAAAGACTGGGCATTGATTATTAGTCAAAGAATGCCTAATTGTGGACCAAAGTTAAGTCAACGCCGGGGGAGGGAATAACGAGCGGTTGACCTTTTAGATTCTTGCCGGAATAGAGATAGTTGCACTTGCACAGGATTGCACTTTTATTTTTCTTTTTCTCTTTTTTTTTCTTATAAAATATCAATCACCTTGGCAGGAAAGAACTTTTGGATATATAAATGGACAAAACTGTGCCACTTGGCCTTACAATCTTGTCATTAATTGTCTATTCTAGAATTACTTTAATCTCCTAATAAATGAAAAAGAAAAATAAAAAGAAATTGGTCTCCTACTCTACTAGCCGACTAGCCCAACACATAGAAAGACTTCCTTCGTTAAAAAATTCCTTACCCTATTGCTCCTAATTTTTTTACCATTTTGATTTCCATTAGATATTTTTACTTTTAGTATAATTTGAACTAATAATAAAAAGAGTGATGATACACATCTCACCTAATTTATCTCACCTATTCATCTCACTCTACATGATATTTAGGCTCTATTTGATAATCACTTAATATAGTGACTTAATTTATTTAAGTAATTAATAAAATTAAGTGTGTTTGATAATCGCTACTAAAAAATCTTAATGAATTAAGTTCTGAACTAATTAAGTACTTATAAATTAAGTGCGATTGATAACTAAAATTTCACTGTCTGAATTAATTAAGTGCGTCTGAATGGTCAATTCAATTGTGAGCCAGAAAATAAGTTATAGGTCTATCACTTATCACTTAATTTCTGTGTAACTCTTTTTTTTTCTTTTTTCTTTTTTTCCTTTTTTTCCCCTCGTCTTTATTTTGTCGCTTATTTTTACATTGTTTTTAAAATTTTTATTTTCTTAAGATAAATTAATTAAGAGTGCTTAAAGTTGAATTTACATTATGTGCGTAAAAGATCTCAAACTTTCAAACTCAAATTAAACTAATTTTAATACATGAAATTTGCTAAATAACAAGGTATACACATATATGTAATAATCTAATTTAATTATATATTGATTATTTACCAAGTGTAACATCTACTTTCATTATACATACAAAAACTTATTTTAAAATTATTATTTTATTATCTAGAACAAAATATTAGTTATTTTTCTATTTAAAAGAATTTTGTTTATAATTCAGTTTTAATGATATTAAAATTTTAAATAACTTTCAGACATGAGTATTCAGATTCAGTTTTCAGTCTTCAGACATCATATTCAGACGTTTTTATCAAACAATGTAAATTCAGTTTTCAGACTTCAGACTTCAGTGTTAAGTGTTAAGTGTTCAGATTCAGACTTTAGTGATTATCAAACAGACCCTTAGTTATTGGCTGAAATTTAATAAGCTAATTAATCATTAGATAAAATCTAATAAGTTAATTTAATTATTTTTTGGTTAGGTTTATATACATTTTGAAAAGTTTGGGAAAATTATTATTAAGGGCATGGGAAAAACTAAAATGATTAAAAAGGGCATGCTTTTATTACTACAATGAAAAAAAAAAACTTTTGTTGTTAGTTTAATTGCTAAAAGAACTATAATATCCTTCTCACTAAAAAAAAATAATTACTTCATGTGCTCATTTTCTCCACCTGCCGCCTACAATAAACCCAACTTGGAATTTGATTTGTTTGATAAAAATTATTTAACTTAGAAACATGCTCAATATTTTGACGCCCTGCCGGTCCGACACCTTAAACCTTCTTTAAAACCCAACAACCATTTCATCAAAAGGCTGTAGAAATGCTGAGGAGAAAACCAAGTCCACTGGACCAAAATCTGCAACCTTGCAATAAAAATAAGAAATCTAATTTCCCATATTTCTCCAAAACAAATCCCTTGCGATGAATTCTCGAGGTATTATTACAGCAACAATCATTTTCATTACGGGGTTCTGGGTTGTGGCCTCCCTACTGGCGAAGCCCTTTAAAATTCAATTACATTGAGTTAGGAGGAAATATTAGGTTAAAAGGATTAAATAGTCTTTTTATATTTAAAAAAACATTAAAAGTGCTTTTAAAGCCAATAGGAAAATATAGCCCTTACTAATAATTTTTTTTTCCAATGCCCTAAATGAAAATTCTCTCAATTTTTTATATCTGAAATTTTAAAATAAATAGACCCTAACCTCGAAAAAAAAATAAACTTTTTTGGGTAAAGTTATCATAATATAAAATATTATCACTATGACTAATATTAATAAGAAATATAATAATACTTAGATTAATCTATTTAGATGCAAAGTAAGAAATACATTGCCTAATCAATAATGCCATGTAAAGCGAGATGAAATGATGAGATAAATTAGGTTAAATGAATATTAATACTCTAATAAAAATTTGAAATGGACAATCATTTGAGGACAGAGATATTAATAAATTAAAATTTCAATAATTTAAAGTGATCTTTTCTTTTTAAAAAAATATTAACAAAGCGATTTAAGGCTTAATACTTACACATAAAAGATTACCGTTTGGTGATACATCTCGTGACAACATTCCCCCATCTCCTCTACTTCTATAGGGTGAAGAAAAAAGTATCCTCTAGCAGCATAATATAGCAACAAATATCAATTATTGAATATAATATATATTTTAACTTAAATTTTTTTATTATTCAAATACGTTCATCCAGTTTAATTTAAGGAAAATAATACATACAACGAAAACATGTAGTGAACTAGCATAGTAACTAATGTGACATTTAGAAAAATACATAATTGTTCCTTATTATATATGAATAGCTATTAAAAGAATGGTAAATGTTATTTATCTTTTCATAAATTACTATATCATCTCATTATGAATAATCATAGTTTCTGTTATTACTATTTATTTCATATGGCCACTATAGTATAAATAAACGTCTCTTTGTTAAAAAAAAATAAATTGTTTGCAACTTGATTCATACTTTTTCAGGCATGCAAATAACGATTTATTATTACCCTACCTCACATGTGCATTATTTTAAATAAAGGGAGCATTTAGATTAAGGGTATGGAAAAGAGAATAATTTTTAAATGAGACATAATTTATACATAATTTGAATTAGGGGCGATTAATTACATCTTGAAATTTAAAAGTAAAAATATTTTTGCTTTGCCAAACTTACCCTAAATTTTATCTCTCTCCCTGCCACTCACTTTTTCTGTTTCCATGAACAAGAACCGATGAAAAGGCACAAACATGAGAACTAACCTCATGAGCAAATCAATCTACGCTGCAAATTCTCTTGGCTCATCACAATAAATAACCAATAAGACAGACAGTTTAAAAATCCTTGAAAAAAGTTATAATTTCTTTTTTGTTTCTTTTTTTTTATACAGTATTAGATAACTCAATTAATCTTGGGACCTCAACAACCGTCAAGAGAAGCATTACAGGACAAACCTTTGCAATCGGTAGTACATGAAATCTTTCCAATAAGATAAAATTGAACGTTAAATCGGCAAATTATCCAGTATACCCGGGGACACCGTGCCCCCCCTCCTATTTTTTGTACGAGTAGTCCTTATTGTACCTTTTTATCAATCTTTCAATATTTTGTAATTTTAGTCCCTGTGACTTTTTTCCTTCTCTTCAAAAAAAAACAGCTCTAATCTTTCAACGAGCATATCTCCCAATCCGTGAAGAATTTGTGAACGAATTATACATGAAATTTATAGTACTCGTCAAGATCTATCCAACGAAATCCATTTCGAATATTTAATGACTAAATTTTGATGGGCAGAATAAGTTGGATATCTAGTAAGTTGGATAACCAGTATGCACGAGTTGGATAACCAGTATGAACACAGTGGATAACCAGTTCAAACAATTTGGATAACCATGTAAATCCATTGGATAACCAGCATTAGCGCATTGGATAATCCAGTACAAACCAATGATTGGATAACCAATACAAACGAGTTGGATAAACAACTTAGTTTATTATTTTTTAAAAAAATAATAAAAAGAAAAACCAGGTTGGATAAATAATACTAATTAGTTGGATAAACAGTATTAACATAAATAATCAAGATGGATAACCAACTTATTTTACATTCATATTGTTGTGTTTCTTGTATCTTTTGATTTGTAAAGAATTATAACACGAATTATATATGAAATTTATAGTGTTCGACGAGATCTATCCGATAAGATCCATGTTGAATATTTTTTTTTGAACTTTAAATGCATTTAAATTTTACGGGCAAAAATGAAGAAATGCGTTTTTTGTTTTTCTTTGAAAAATGGTTATCCAATCGGTTTGGAGTGATTATCCATTATGTTCGTACTTGTTATCCAATCATATGTTTGACATTCACTCTTCAAAAAAAAAAAAGATGATGGATAACCACCTCTATTCTATTCTGCCCGTCAGAAATTAAGTCATTTTTAAGCCCGAAAAAATGTTCACTGTGGATTTCGTGGGATAGATCTCGACAAGTACTATAAATTTCATACATAATTGGTTCACAAATTCTTCACGGATTGGGAGATATGCTCGTTGAAAGATTAGAGTTGGATATGCATACAAACCAAATGGATGGGTATCCAGTACAAACAAGTTGGATAACCAGTATGAACAGATTGGATATCCAGTTTAAAAAGATGGATAACCAACTTATTTTACATTCATATTATTCTTTTCCTTGTATCTAATGATTCGTAAAGAATTATAACACGAATTATATATAAAATTTATAGTACTCGACGAGATCTATCCGATAAGATCCATGTTGAATATTTTTTTTGAACTTTAAATGCATTTAAATTTTACGGGCAGAAAATGAAGAAATGCGTTTTTCGTTTTTCTTTGAAAAATGGTTATCCAACCGTTTTGGAGTGATTATCCATTATGTTCGTACTATTTATCCAATCATATGTTTGACATTCACTCTTCAAAAAAAAGAAGATGGATATCCACCTCTATTCTATTCTGCCCGTCAGAAATTAAGTTATTTTTAAGCCCGAAAAAATGTTCACTGTGGATTTCGTTGGGTAGATCTCGACGAGTACTATAAATTTCATATATAATTTGTTCACAAATTCTTCACGGAATGGGAGATATGCTCGTTAAAAGATTAGAGTTGGATATGCATACAAACCAAATGGATGGATATCCAGTACAAATAAGTTGGATAACCAACATGAACACAGTGGATAACCAGTTTAAAAAGATGGATAACCAACTTATTTTACATGCATATCGTTGTGTTTCTTGTATCTTTTGATCCGTAAAGAATTATAACACGAATTATATATGAAATTTATAGTGCTCGACGAAATCTATCCGATAAGATCAATGTTGAATTTTTTTTTGAACTTTAAATGCATTTAAATTTTACGGGCAGAAATTAAAGAAATGTGTTTTTCGTTTTTCTTTGAAAAATGGTTATCCGTTGTGTTCATGCTGATTATCCAACCGGTTTGGAGTGATTATCCATTCTGTTCGTACTTGTTATCCAATCATATGTTTGACATTCACTCTTCAAAAAAAAAAAAGATGGATATCCACCTTTATTCTATTCTGTCCATCAGAATTAAGTCATTTTTAAGTTGTATTCATGCTGATTATCCAACCGGTTTGGAGTGATTATCCATTCTGTTCGTACTTGTTATCCAATCATATGTTTGACATTCACTCTTCAAAAAAAAAAAAAAAGATGGATATCCACCTTTATTCTATTCTGTCCGTCAGAATTAAGTCATTTTTAAGCCCGAAAAAATATTTACTGTGGATTTCGTTGGATAGATCTCGACGAGTACTATAAATTTTATATATAATTCGTTCACAAATTCTTCACGGATTGGGAGATATGCTCGTTGAATGATTAGAGTTGGATATGCATACAAACCAAATGGATGGATATCCAGTACAAACAAGTTAGATAATCAGCATGAACACAGTGGATAACCAGCACAAATGACTTGGATAAGCATGTAAATCCATTGGATAACCAGTATTAGTGCATTGGATAATCAACATGAACACATTGGATATCCAGTTTAAGAAGATGGATAACCAACTTATTTTGAATTAAGAAGTTGGATAACCAAATGGATAAGCAGTAGAAACAAAATGGATAACCAGTTCAAACCGATTGGATAATTAGCATGAACACGATGGATAACTAATTTAGAACAAGTTGGTTATCCAACTTGTTTGTACTGGATATCCAACTTAATTCTGCCCAAAGAAATTTGATTATTTTTAAGTTGGAAAAAAATATTGGATATGGATCTTGTTGAATAGATCTCGACGAGTACTATAAATTTCATATATAAATCGTTCACAAATTCTTCACGGATTATGAGATATGGTCGTTGAAAGATTAGAGCTGTTTTTTTTTGGAAGAGAAGGAAAAAAGTCACAGGGACTAAAATTACAAAATATTGAAAGATTGATAAAAAGGTACAATAAGGACTACTCGTGCAAAAAAATAGGAGGGGGGCACAGTGCCCCCGGGTATACTGGATACAGCCTCGTTAAATCCTTACTAGAGAATAGGAACCGAGAACAAGTCCATATAGAGTACAAATTAGTTGAGGAATAAAATCCTCAGTTTCCAAATTTCTAACTTTTCTTTCAAGGAGAAGAAGAAGACGATGGAATTGCAGACTTCTGAATGAATGGAATGTGAGAGGAAATGGATATTCAGGTTTTTTTTCCTTTTTTTTTTTTTTTCTCTTTTCTCATAAAAAAGTTAAGGGCAACTGTGACAATTAAAACTATATTAATTGCATTTTTAAAGATGTAATACAGTGTCCTAATCCGAATTATGTACTCCCTCTGTCCCATAATTATTGTCCAGTTTTACTAAAATGAAATATTTTATTTTTGGTCAAACTTAACTATATTTTACCTTAAACAACCGGATATACCCCTACATAAGTAATTGTTCAACCACTAAGATTTTATGGATAATGTTTTTTACTAAGGACAAATGTGTAACTTGATCCATAAAAAGTCAAATTAGACAATAATTTTGGGACAAAATTTTTTGGGCAAAGTGGACAATAATTATGGGACGGAGGGAGTATAAGTTATGCCCCTTTTAAAAATTAATTTTCGTCCCTTACCCTTGACACAAATTGTCCCAAAAATTAAAAAAATCATATTTTATTTTATAAATCTTAAACAAATAAATTTCACCTGCGCCGCAGGCAAAAAAAAAAAAAACTAGTTTTATTACAATGCATTAACTTATAAGCTATATGTGCATCAAATGTGCAAATTCCTTGGTAGGGAAAATGAAACTCTTCCTTGAATTATTGAGGACTCGAAGCACATTAATCTAATAGACTATCAACACCAACCGCCAGCGGAGCACCATCACCTACGGCGCCTTAATTGGTAACTTTACGATCTAAACCCGTGTTTTAGATTTCTTTTCAAGCACAAAAATGAAACATATATAATGGCCAAATGGGTTTGGGACTCACAGACCAAACATCTTAAAAAACGTGTGGAGTTTGACCGAGTTTAAACTTTAAACTTAAACTCTTTCGAATATCTCAAAGTCAGCTTTTCTTTATTTTCAATCAAATTGACAATAGTCTACTACTACATTGAACAACTTGTCTGAATCCAAACCTTTGAAAATTGCGTAGCCCAACGCTCCACATGGGAGCTGGCCGTTTTTCCATTTCTTTTCAGTCTAACTAATGCTAATAATTTGGGAGCTGCCTTTGTTTGTTTCATTTTCTTGATGGTTTTTTTAAATTAAAATATTAATAATGGTCTCATTCTAGCAAACTTTTTTATATTTTTAATACATCTTTTAACATTTTTAATACAAAAAATACCTAAAAACACACACTAGAAAAACGAAATAAACATACGAATATCAAAAACCTCCAAAGAGTATGTAAGCCACTACTCTACTGAGTTAGCTTCTTCCTCCAAAGAGTACCAAAAACCTCAAGTACTGTAAAGTCATAAACCTTCGAGCATTTTGTAGTATTCATGAGCTCAAAATATCCAATTAAGTTTCTTACAAGTATTATTTACTGAACTAATTTTCTTTTAATCTTGAGAAGGCAGAAGTCCACATTGGTGGCTACAATTCACATGCCTTCTTATCAATGTGTAGAATCTAGCTCCTCCGCCCACATACAACATTTTGTAATCATGTGATAAAGTGTTGAGTGTTTTGTTCATTGCAAATGGAGCTGGAAGAGTCATATTCTTTTACTCTGTGCTAATAATGGACTAAATCAAAATGATTCTATTAAATTTCAGTGCTTCTTCTAAATCAAAATGGCTCGATTTTTGCGTCCAGAAAGCCAAAGAATAATACTATTTTTTTCCATGCCGTAAAGGGGTACGATGAGCATGAACAGCCGTTTAACTTGCGGGAGGTTATGGATCTACTCTGATGCAATGCATTTCAAACTCTCCAAGTTGTTCTGTCCTCGTGCACATTCTCTGTTTTTCCTCCAATCTCAAAAGGCAATTTCATTTGAACTGACATTATCATTAACATCATTTGTGTTTCACATCTTTCGGCTTCTTAGAGTGTTGGATTTACAACAATTCGAAATCAAATCTGAGTTTCCAGGTGAAATAGAACTGCTTGTTCAGCTTGCCTTTCTTGCAATTCGAGGTAAGTTCTACCACATTCCATCGTCGATAGCGAAACTGTTTCATTTGGAAACTCTTATTGTGAGATCACATTGGCTTTCATCGCCGGACACACTCTGGAATCTGCGAAAGTTAAAGCATCTCTACATAAGGAGCGACTACTGGTGGTTAGGTGGTATTTTGCCTAAAGAAAATCTTGAAAATTCGCCGATTCTATATGAGTTGGACAGGCTTTCTGGAGTTCAGATTTCTCACTGGAATTGCATGAAGAGACTAATGAGAAAGTTTCCAAACATTCGGAAGTTGAAGTGCTCAGTTTTTAATGAAGATAGTGATCCCAGGAAAATCGACACCATCGCCATTCCTGAATTCTTGAACCAGCTGGAATCACTTCACCTGTTACATCATATTGGTTCAAATTATCCCAAGATGTTCAAGTTGAGTTTGCCTGCATTTCTGAAGAAACTGTCACTGAGGGGTTTTAATCTGTCATTGGAAAATATTTCAACCATCGGTAAACTATCAAACCTTGAGTTCCTCAAATTGTTCAAGGTCAGCTTTGAGGAGGATACATGGGAAATGAAAGAAGGGGTACTCTAAGCTTAGAATCTTAAATTTGGAGTTGACGAATCTTGTCAGATGGAGAGCTGGAGATGATCAATTTGGTTGTCTTCAAAAGTTGTCGTTGGCGAATTGTGACAGTTTGGAAGAACTGCCAGCTAATTGTTTAGAGTTCCTTTCGACACTTGAAAGGATAATTGTGTTTAATTGTTCTAATGCTGTTGTAGATTTGGCAAGACAGATTGAGGAACAACAGGTGGAGCAGTGTGGAAACACTAATCTTAGTGTCATTATTGTATCAACAAGGCATTGATATTTTGCGCCTTTTTCTCTTCTTTTTTTTTTTCCCCTTTAAATACATCTTTGGGACTTTAGAATATTGAGTGTATTTGTAATTATTGTTGAGTGCAATAGATCCATGGATATGAATGTAGAAGGTTACATTTGATCTTAATTTGCATCTCTCTTCAAATTCATATAGTCAAGTTACGCCAGAGTAAAGTTTTGTTACTCCCTACTTCACATTTTAATAGTCCATTTTGTTAAACTGAAATTTACTTCCAGAGCCGATAGAACCAAACATTAACAGTAACCAACTTAAGAAGTGTAATAATGAACTATGTGTACTATATATTCTGCATAAACATCTCCATACAAGTGCAAATAACAGAAACTATATAACATCGGTGATAGGATCATGCCTTGATTCATGATGCATGAGTGATCCGAAAAATTCATCCTACCTCCTAGTCGGAACCTTTTCTGTTTTCCTTAATAACATCCATAACGAAATCCTTCGCGGTATCCATAACTCCACCGTCTTCTTCATCGTCATTATTATCAGCACCACCTGTTTGATCTTGATCGGTCTCTTCATCATCTGATAGTGGTTCCCAATAAGGGTACCATACAGCCCAACTAACCAACCAAATGAAACTTACTGCACTCAGAGCAGCAAGTGTCCAGTAATATCGATCCAATCGGCTCGCATTCAAGTCATATTGAAACCAATTTGGCTTCCCATGTCTCTGGCTAACTCTCCCAACAACATAAACCGATAAAACGCTTCCAATGATGCCTAGACCTGATAATCCAGGACTCAAGAACACGAGAAACTTCTTCATCGATGGAGGGCTGTGACAACTGAAGAATGTGGTGACGCTGTTGTCATAATACGTGTCGAGTCCACCAAGAAGAAAGTATTGTGGAAGTAGAGAAAACACAGTCATTGGGATATCATCGTCGGGCTTATCAACCAAGTCATGATCCCTGATCACACGAATCCTTCGAGTTTCAACGGCAGCAGCAACAATGCAGCACAATGTTGCAGATATTGTAGCCAGGGCCATGCCAAATCCGGGTGCATATTTCTGATTTTTACCTGATCTTTTGAAGCAGGCTCCATATATTCTTTTGCTGAAGGATTTCCCAATTTCGTACAACAGCAGGAGCAGCGAATCGGGCAACTTCAGTTTCCCGACCTTGTAGTTCATGTGGCTTGCTTGCTCTACAAAGTATGTGCTGCCGATTGAAGTCACCAACCCGGAAAGGATTAAGGGAATCCAAAGTGGTAAAATACTTAAAACTCTTTTTGTTTCTTCCACCTGATTAACTGTGCAAAGTAACCATCTTCGACTCTTCGGGCCTTCTTCAATTGCAGCCTTGTCCAAACACCTGAGAGAGAGATCCACAACTAAATTATGCATCAGTAAAGATTGAGACAATGAATTCTTTCCATGGATAACGAGCATTCATGTGTTTTCATGTATTTGCAGTTTCACTGAATGAATTTACTGTCGGTACTCATTTTCATATTGTACTTAAACATTCATATTACATATAGATAAACAAAAAAACAAAAGAAAAGATGAAGACAAACCTGAGAGTATTAGTATGGCTCAGTTTCTTCTCACCATCATTGTCAGCATTGGAATTCCCATATAGCTCTGAAATGCTCGGACGTCTTTTGAACATGTTAAGAGCAGCAGCCAAAATGACTCTCAACACAGTTCTAACAGGACTTCCATTGTTCAATTGATCATCACCCTCACGGCCCTTGTACTCGTTAAAGCCCGTCAGGAACGCGATTGTTGCGACAAGAGTGATGATTGCTGGAATTCCAAAACGATACGTCCATGGTTTTATGTAAGGAAGAGCAAACAGTATGACAACGGGGACGAATACTAAAACACAAGCACCAAACTTGCTCTCTAATTGCCTGTTTACGACAGCCAGCATTGCTTCCACCGGCTGAAATTGAAGCCTGGACAGATCATCTTCATCAGTACTATTACTCCGATCAGCAGCTCCATCTTCATTTGATGGCTGCTTCCTTTTGTTGTCCTGCCTTCGAGGTTGAAATGGCAGTGATTGTCTTAATGTCCGGAAACTATTATATGTGCGTCCAGTCTTTTTTGCATATTCATGTAGCCTTTTGTGCTTCAGAACTTCTAAATCATCAGATGAGATTTGACCATCTATACTACTAACGTTGTTCTGATTCTGCGGCAGTTCATCTGTGCTCTTGTTGTTATTTTCACGTTTCTTTTCAAACTGGTCATTGAAAACCTCAACCAATGAGACAATGTGACCACTAATTCCAACTGCAATCAATGCCAAAGCCGCGTAGAACAGCGCCTTTTTCGTGTCATTGATGCACTGTGGCTCGTAGTCTTTACAGGTTCCGGTGACTTTTGCTAGGATTGGTGGAGTTGACAGAAACAAAAGCAACGAACCCTGCACTCACAGATTAGGACAACTCTTGTTTACATCTTTTTGAGTTTTTCATCAAAATTAGATGCTTCAAAATACCACATATGTCCTATGTACTCTGTCATAAAACAGGGTCGCAATTCATGGTCTAATGTAACAACATATTTCTGTTGGACCAACATTATAAACACAATAGCAATTTCATCTTTTGAGTTTTTTGGCACTCTTTTTAATCTTTATCTTCGCAGACCAACAAAGTCAATGGCCTGAGAACTTTACCTCAATGAAATGTCAAACCCATTGGTTTGTTTCTACATACATAAGAATTACCTTAAACCAACTGAAACTTGACAAGGAAAAAGCACTTACAAATACATAGACAATGCTTGAGAGAAGCAGCATCCATTTATTAGGAAGGCCAGCATCCACAAAGTAGCAGAACAGCAAAGGCAGTACTTTAGGGAGGCCACTAGCCACATTCATGATTCCAGCAGCATGTGTGAACCCAAGTTTCCAAACATCTGTTAAGTACTTTTGCATAATCCACATCACGTATGCCCCCAGCAAATCAGCCCATATCAGAACTGCAAAAATATCAAATTACAAATAAAGTTACTTCTTTGAAATTGAAAGCGAAAACAAAAATTAAGCGATCAGTACATAGAGAAAACTTACTCATTACTCTGTGAAATGCCATTTTAAGCTTTAACCCTTTGTCTCTGTTTTCCTATGTAGTATGCAATATTAGAACGAAGCCACCATTAATGGCATACAGACGTTGTAATGTACAGAAGGTGAGGAGAAAGGAATCATGGGAGAGAAACACTTAAAAATACTATTATTCTCTTGTATAGTAACGTTGGGTGACATTGAGAAAAATAATAATAAAATTAAAAAGCTGACTTTGATTATCTAGACCAAGATAGAGGAACTAACCGTGGTCATTATCTGATTTAATAATTAGTGACACTAGTATTAGATTTTCCTTATGTTTTCAAAACCGGACCGGAAGGTGAACCGTTAGCGTGACTGGGTTGGTGGATTTATCGGGTTAACGGATTAGTTTGTTCCTCGAGACCGGTGAAAATCGGTTAAAATAATATTAAAAAATATTTAAAATTAATTTTTTAAGAAATATATGCAAAAATCGGTTCAACCGGTATCGGTTTCCAGTCAAACTGCGGTTTTACCCGGATTTGACCGAGTTTGACCGGGTTATACAGAATCCGGTTTTTTCTGAAAACTAGACCGGTGAGGCTTCCGGTTCCCAGGCTAACCAGTTAGATCGCCGGGGCGGTCCGGTTTTGAAAACACATCATTTTCCATTAATTACTTGAGACTCGCGGGGGCTTTCATCATTATATCAAAAAGTTTATATTATCAATTTAAATATGTGAGTGCGTACATAAAAGTCCAAACTATTGCTCAATAATTAGTGCTAATGATGAAAATTCCCTGTCAGTATATAAACTTGAGGTTTGTATAGGTAGTCTTTTCGTCACATACTCTAATAGAAAGGAATGTCCGATAATTAGTATTCCCCGTCCCGAAATTATTGTCCAATTTGAGAATTCAGTTTTAGTATAAATTGTCCTGAAAATGAAAATCTAAATTGGATAATCATTTTTAGAAAGAAGTATAGATTATAGATACAAGACAATTAATTATCATGGATAATCCTTAAGCGTTGTTTGCAGTTGTATGGTTCATCATAACGTAAATGATTTACGAGATTCAGAAACGACCCTCTCTTCTTGGTTTAAAAAGGCTCTCGTGATTTTTATGGTTGTCCAAAGCACGAAAATGCTATAAATATTAAGGCTGTTGTGTGGACAAGCTTTATAAAATGCAGATAGTGGGTCAAACAAACCTTCATGGTAGCTGTGTAGCTGTAATTAAGTATTTACTAGATGTTTGGCCCAGGCAGATGCCCGGGCGCCCGTTCTAAATTACTATTTTATTAAAATCTAATTGAATTACTATTTTTTGAGGAATTAATTTGGCGTATATATCATTTATGCTATGGTTTGGGGCTTAAAAAATATACCTATAAATCTGAGGTTATAATGGAATGATAAATAATTAATTTATAAGACATTATTCTTAATTACTGGATTTAGGTATTTTTATTTTTTGTTTATATTAAGCCTGCAAAACTATACGATTGGATATTTGAATTTGAATTAATATATCCATTCGTTTGAAATGTAACTGATCCTTATTTGTAGTAAAACATGTGTTTTTTTTTAAAAAAAAATTATATAACTTCTAATTAAAAGAGACTTACACGTGGCAAAAAGATTCCTGAAATCTGAAATATGATGCATTGGAGCCAAAACAGACGCATACGTAGTTGCCACATAAGCTTCATGTCTTCTGCTTTAATAGGGTAAAAGGGATGTCTTAATTCGATTATTTATATGGGTGTAATTAAGAATTAATTTGAAACAGTCAATCCTTAGTAGAATAGATATAAAACGACAAATTTAAGGTTGTTTGATGTGAAATTAGATTAAACTATACTATATCATTGTATTAGTCCACTGATGATGATGGTTGCTTGCCATGATGAGCTCTGTTTATAATCACGTCGACTTCCCAAAATGGCAGTGCTTTGACTTCACGTTTTTACTTTTTTTTGTTCTTCATCATCTTTAAAATATCCGAGGCCTAGAAAGTAAAAACTAGAAGTACTTGTCAGTTTATTAGCAACTTCTTTCTCTTTTTTTTCTTTGAAATTTTTTTTCCAGTAGATAACAAATTTGTGAATGAAACACCATGTTAAAAATTGTTGTAGTGTTATAAAATGTAGTATTACCTCCATTTTTTTTTATCTGTCGCTTTAGGATGACTCCAAATTTTTCTTTTTATCTGTCATATTCTATTTCCAATGAAACATTAAATATAATTTTTTTAATTTTACCCTTATATCTTTCTACTTTTAATGACATATATTAATGAAAATTATTTAGTATTCTTTTACTTTAATTTCAAATTTTTGTAGAGTTATAATATTTTTAATTAGGGGTAAAAGATAAAATATACTTAAAAATTAAATTATCAATCATTACCTTCTTAATACATGTACAACTTTTAAAGTTGCAGGAAAAAAAAGGGTGAAACTGTTGAGCGCCTTTATTTTCTCATTTGAGCGCCCTCTGAAAGACGGATACGCTCTCTGCACAATGAAAATATTTTTTTTTTCCAAAAAGAGAGAGGGAGAAAGGCGAGGGACATTTGCACTAGCCGATAACGACTGGCGCAGGAGGAACACGCCACCCCTAAGCGGGGTGGCATGGAATAATCTCGCCTCCCATTTTCTTTTTAATTTAATTATTTGTTTATTTTTTAATGTATATAATTAATATCATTTATTTATTTAAATTATTAGTTTAATAAATTTATTTAATTAATTAATTAATTTTATTTGAGTATTTTTTTGGTAGTTTAATATTTGTTTAGAAAATTTATGTTAATTAATAGTTACATGGATAATCTATCTTAATATTTAGATTTATGGTATTGGTAAATAAATAATGTTTAACTTAAATATTTAGAGAATATTTTTTAATTATGTATTTTTTCAATAAGTTATAGTTGTTATATTAAATGGGTTAATTTTTTGTTAATTATGTGTTTAGTTTGTTATATGTTTAAATTATGTTAATTACGTAGTATGTTCGTATGAAATAGTTTTTTTCTTGTTAAATGAATGTTTAGTTTGTTGTTAGTTTAGAAAAAATTGGGTAATTAGGTAGTATGTTCACAACTTATAGTTGTTATATTAAAATGGTGAGTTTTTGTTAATAATGTATTTAGTTTGTTATTAGTATATATTATGTTAATTAATTATCTTTAAAGTATAACATCATTATATCGGATTATATGTTATGTTTTTGTTTATAATGAATAATTTGTGGTTTAATATTATTATAGTTAATTTAAGTTATGATATAATTCATTTTTAATGTGTACATGATAGGTTTGATCAGGGGGGTGGACGGGATTATAGTTTGGCTTTTGCTACATACGAGACTTTTGGCACGAAGCCTGAAACTATTGCATATGCGAAGGGTATTGCAAATATGTACAACATCAACTTAAGTGTATCCTCGCACAAGGATAATAATCGTATACTCCTTTGTCATAAAGAAGACCAGTACCAAGGTCAACAGGTAGATGAAAACATGCGTGCCCGACCCAATACAAAGACGCAGATGACCGGATACCAGTTTTGGGTTACTGTCTACAAAATATATGATAGGTGGGCGATTCGTGTATATCCCGGTCCGTGGGAAATGCACAACCATTCATTGAAAGATCCGCCTCGGGTTAGGAGGTCACTGAGCGCAGAAGTGAAAGAGCTTATTCAAGAGTACTCTAAAGCTGAGACTAAGGCAATACACATTTTACGGGCGATATGGATACAATTTCTTGATGAAAATGTTACCTCCAAACAAGTCTATGACTACAGAAATCAATTGCGTAAGAAGAGGTTTCTAATTCTGGATGACATGGCTTCCGTGGACATCGTGGGAAAGGTGTTAGAGGTTGTAGAACAACACAAATATATCATTTTCCTGGAGTTCGATGAAGAGACACAGAGGTTATCCCACGTGTCTTTTGCTTATCTGGATTCTTTGTTGCTGTTGCTCATGTATCCTTGGGTTGTTTGTGTAGACTCCACATACAACACAAACAAATATAAAATGCCTCTTGTGGATTTTGTTGGAATGACCATGTGCAATCATACCTTCCTTACAGCATATACTCTTCTGAGTGATGAGACGGGGGACATGTACCATTGGGCTTTGTGGCAGCTCCGTAACTTGTATGGCGATGATCTGCATCCGAGTGTCATCGTGACTGATCAGGAGCCTGGACTGATAAGGCCTCTTGATGATGTATTTCCATCATCACATTACTTGTTGTGTATGTGCACGTTTACAGGGATGTTGAAAAAAATGTGAAAAGAATTTTGAATGAAAATGTGAACGTAGCAAAAAGTTTCGCGTACAAGGCCTTTAAAACAGTGATCGAAATTGCAAATCGGGAAGATTACGAAGAAAAAGTGAAGCTTCTGGAGCATAATTGGTTCCATTTTCAACCCGTTCTAGAGTATGTCAAGAAGACATGGTTAGTGGTGGCGGACAAGTTTGTGCAAGCATGGACCAACACTTATTTTCATGTTGGCAACACCACTACTTGTAGAGTGGAGAGCGCACACAAGTTGTTAAAGGAATGGCTCGGCACAGGAAATGCTTCTTTTGAAATGGTTTGGCACAGGGTTCACATGTTACTCGAGACACAGCTTACACAAATAAGGTACTGGATTTTGACGTTACATTCTAAAATATGGTTATAATATATATTGTGTGTTTATTTTGTTTAAGTAATTTTTTTCATTCCTCCACAGAGAGAAATTGCAAGAATCAAGGTAGAAAATAGGGAGGCAACACAACAAGTACCCTTTTTACCAATTGAGATGCAACGTTTCACACTATTGCTTGGATCTGTTGAATAATGAGTTGGAAAGGACACAGCAAACTCGGAGATGATGTATTTTCGTAGGGAGTAATGTTGTCCACTTCTATTGTAAGACATAAGTTTTTTGTGTTCCCGAATGAACTTGAGAACTCCAGGAACATGTGTATGATTAAAATCATAGGCAGATATAGTTGTATTCCAAAAATAAAAAATAAAAAATAGGGGAATAATGTTGTGTGTGCACTGGAAAATTTTTTTTTTTTAAGAAAAACTTTATTCAATAATAGGGTTGTGAATTTAAAGAAATTCTATTCATAATCTC